ATAATCACCATACTCACTCTTTTACATTCCTTACAAACTAGTTGTCGAGCTCTTTAGTGTAATTAGTTTTGAGAGCTTGTTTTGCTAGCTATTTTAGTATCACCTAGTGGAGCTCTTTAGTGTAGACTTGTTGAGAGCTCTTAGTGAGTAGTGACATAGCCATTGTTTGTGCCTAGCGATCATAACAACTAGAATTGTTGGATAGGTGGCTTACAACCCTTGTAAAGCTAGAGCAAAATTATATTTCACCATTTAGGTTACTAACCACTTGCTCTAGTGTGGTTGTAAATTTTTTTTATGGGCTATTCACCCACCTCTAGCCATTTAGGACCTTTCAAGTGGTATCAGAGTCGTGGTCACCGTTTGATTCAAGGCTTAACAACCTTGGGTATAAAATATGGCTCAAATAGTGTTCAACCATATTAGGGGTAAACCACCATTATTTGATGGCACATCTTTTGATTATTGGAAGAGAAAGATGAAGATTTACATTGGTTCAATCAATGACAAAGTGTGAAATGTGGTAGAGAATGAGTTTATGATCATTGACCCCACCAATCTCACGGACAATGACAAGATCAACAAGCAATGCAACATTATGGCACTCAACACAATATATAATGGCATTGATTCAAAAGTGTTTGAACAAATCAAAGATCTTGAAAAGGCAAGTGAAGTTTGGGTGAGACTAGAAGAAACATGAGGGCACTTCAACGGTAAAAAGTGCCAAGCTCTATATGCTTAAAGACAAGCTATCAAACTTCAAGATGAAGGATGATGAGTCCATTCCGAAGATGTTCTATAGGCTACAAGTCATCATCAATGATCTCAAGAGTTTGGGTGAGAAGGTGAAGGATGAGGACTTCTCTCACAAGTTTTTGATGTGTTTGTCAAAGAGATTCAAGACATGGAGAACTATCATATTTAGAGGTGAATTGAAGAATGTCCCTCCAAATAAGATGATCGGTGATGTAATGATCAAGGACCAATACAATAGTGATGGTAAAGAACTTATGAAGGAGGAATATAAGAAGAAGAAGAGTGTGGTATTCAAGGCCAGCACTTCATCGTCCAAAAACAAGAGCAAGGGCAAGGCTAAGAAGAAAGAATCAAGTGATGAAGAATGCTCTTATGATGATAGTGATGATGAAGCACTAGCTCTCTTTGTGCGCAAGTTTGGCAAGATGATGAAGAAGAAAGGCTATGGTAGAAGAAAAAGAAGAGATCACTTCAAAAACAAGGAGTATGTGAGGTTGTGTTACAAGTGCAAGACCCGATCATATTATAGCGGATTGCCCCTATAATAGTGTAATGAGGACAATGAGAAAAAAAGAGCAAGAAAGAGAAGAAGAAGAAGAAGAGAAGAGAAGAAGATGACTTTCAAGAAGAAGAGTCGATCGGTTGCTTGTGAGGGATCTTGTGCCTTCTCCAACGGAGCACAAAAAACCAATTCTAGTAAATTATTTGTGTTATTGATCTACCTCGTGGCCACCCTTCCTACTATACGTATCTTTTATGTGGTTCTGGATTTCACCCGCTTTCTTCGTTACAATTGAATAACGTGGCATCCATAATCCACAGCCGCCACCTGCAACTTCGTGCTGGACAGCAGCTGCAGCGTTCATGCTATGAAGGATCCAGCCGTCCAGCACTCGTTCCAGCAGATTATGAACCAAAATCACCGGCCAAAAAAAAGAGAAAAAAATTCCTCATCCTTCCCTTGCTGTCTGCTGCTCGCGCCCGCTCCCCGTAAGTCACCCGCATCTCGGCCGGCCGCCCGTCTCGCTTGCGCTGCCCGGCCATCCCTTGCCGCTCGCGTCGCCGGCTCCCTCAGGAGCCCGCCGCCATCTCCTCTCTCTGCTTCCACCTGGGGCAGCGGCCTCCTCTGGTCCTCCCTAAACCTAGATTGTGGTCCTCTGCTCCGTCCGCCGGCAGCCGCACGAGCTCGGCTCTTGGAGGAGATGGCGTGGCTCCAGGGCGGCGTGGATGCACCTGACCACGCGCGCACGGGGGGAGGCGATGGGGCGGGTACCCTGGCCGGCGAGTGCAAAGGCGGCGGCGCGGGCGCCTCGGCCTGCCTGCAGGCCCTCTGATGTCCTCTTCGATTCTTTCTCTTATTTCGTCGATTCTTTCTCTGAGTTCGTCTTCGATCGGAATCAATTTTTGTCGATTGCTGTGGAGGTCGATAGAGAATCAATTTTTGTTGATTGTTGTGGAGGCCAGACGAACACACGAAAATTGATTTCTATTTCTATTGTATTTCTATTTGGGTTCGATTCCAGAATTAAAATCATCTGCCTCGATCTCCAACTCTACGACGACGTTTGTGGCACTGGGCAAATAAATAGGCCAGACCAACAAAAGTTCAGACAAAAATTAGGCTGAAATTTGGCCTCTCTGGTATTAGGTAAAGAGGTAGAGATTACTATTCTGAAACTTTAAATAACAACGACAACAACAAAAAATCCTTTAAGTCTCATAAGTTGGGTAGGCTAGAGTTGAAAATCCAGCAGAAGCAATCAAGATTCATGCACGTGAATAACTGTTTTTCAAGAACTTCTATCTAAATTCTCAAACTTTAGATAAATATAAATATTATATTCTGTGTACTCGAACTAGCTCGACCTCGTAAACAAGTCGAACCGAGCTAGTTCATTATCTTAACGAGCCAAAACTTTATCTAGTCCTACTGGTTAATGAGACATGCTCTCGTTGTACCAGGGACATGTTTGGTTTCAGGTGACTAAAGTTTAGCCATCTAGTTTTGATCCCTTGTAGTCACTAAATTGCCACTAAATTGTCAAACAAAGTGAATAAACTAGTTTAGTCCTTTAGTCCCTGGGTGACTTAAGGGGACTAAACTAGCCAAAAGACACCCCAGCTCCTCGTTAATGCACATAAGGAGAGAAAGAGTGTGAGAAGAAGGGCATTTTGGTTTTTGTATAGTTGCTTTAATGGCCTTTATTATCTAGATCCAGACAGGTAGGGACTAAAATTTAGTGTCTAGAGTAAACTTTAGTCCAGGCACTAAATAGAACAAAAGAAACCCTAACTTGAAAGATCTTATAAAAAAAAACTTGGAAGATAAAAAACATATTTTTTTTTCATTGCAACTTTGCCGGGGCTATTTGGTTTGCCTCACCAATCGGACTTAGTTGATGCCTTGCTTCATCGGACCATAGACTACACACTCAAATTGCTACTACTATGCAACAAGGACCCTCGCATGTTACCATAGGTATGATTTTCTCTTTCACGTGGTGTCTTTGGAAAGCACGCAATTCGGATTCAACAACATAAATTGGTCGGTTTCTAGAGTTCTACATGAGGCAAATGCAATTGACAAAGCTTATTGCACACGCCAAACCAAACAGGCATTGGGATTTTCATTCTTACAACCCCTTCAAGAAGTGTTTCCCATGCATATTTTTTCGGTAGTCATTCCCCAGGTTTTGGAACCCTTGGAGGCTGAAACTCTCACCCTCCTCCTCAGTGCCAAGCTGGCTATGGCACTCAACTTGCATGATGCAACTCTCTGTACTGAGGTGCTAGCAATGGCTGCTCGTGCTAGTTCGCATCGAACTCACCGCCCCTCTACTTTCTAAATTGCAGGAGATCAGTCAAGTCAGAAACCTCTCATTCGTTAAGATCGGAAGAGAGTCAAACAAAACGACGGACACACTTGCTAAAAAAAGCAAGCGCCCTGTTTGTTTGGGCTTGTTTGGCTGATAAGTCATAGCTGAAAGTACTGTTAGTTGATTTGATGTGAGAGAAAAATATTGTTCGTTGACTGAAAAAATACGACTTATAAGTCAAACAAGCCCAAATGAACAGGACGAAGATGTGCTAAATCACAAACTCTCTTGTCTTCTCTCTTGCCAGGCATTAGCACATTCACCGATAAGTAACGTTGCTCAAGTTTTGGAACATTTCGAATGGGGCAGTCTTAGCCCTATATCTGCACTTTGTTTGTGATGCAATGAAAATTTAAACTTTTAAAAAAATCCACTCCTTAGTCTTATTTTTTAGCAATGAACTTATTTTTAAGAGCATTTTTAAGAGTTTTCAAAATTCACTTCCAATCAATTTTTTTAGCAAGATTAAAAAAAACTGCTCTCCAACAATTTCCTATCTCAAACTCCTAATCTTTTCACGGAAGGGCCTTGCCTGGACATTCCAAGATTTACTGTCTCTGCTTTCAGTGATAGCTGTGCAAATATATAAGAGAGAAATAAAACATAAAAGTGATTATGGTGATTTGAAAATAGTCTATGATTTCTGATATAAAATTGGTTTCTATATTTTAGAGCAAGATTTTTGTAAATTGTTGAAGAAACTCAACAAATATGCTCCCAACTTTTTTAGCCACTTAAAAACTTATCAATTTACTACTTTTGAACTATTGGAGATGCTCTGACAGAGCACATCATCTACTGATGTACCCGATCTTACCGTACGCTTAAGACTAAAAAACTTGAAATACATGTACAAGGCACACGTACACATATACACTCCCACACACACTGCCTCCTCTGTTCCCTATGCGAACAAAGTCCTAGTCTATTAACACAGGTACTCCCTAAACCAACTTAGACCCTAGACATCATTTACAGTATGAATTTGCAGAAGGGACGAGAGGTATTGCTCTGAATTTGGAATCCAAAAATGTTGGGATTGTATAAGCTAGAATGAGTTTCTTATGTCTATTTGATCCATTCATCACATGGCTTGGTGTTGAGTGCTGACAGTAGCACAGGTTGAGAAAAGGCATCTCAAATCTGAACTGAACCAGTGACGGTGCTTGTCATTCCAGATGGATGCTAAACATCACGAAATGCCATCTACGGCTTCATACGAAAACAGATGATAACAACATTAGTAGGTTCACCAGCTACTCATCATTGCATCCATTTGTCGGGTACCCACAGCACATCCTACCAGTCTTTCTACGAGCAGATGAAATGAGAGGTCCTGTCTGCTGTGATTCTGAATTGTATTAGTTAATGTTTGGCTGCTGCGAGCGAGGGTCTAATTGAGATTTCAATATCACCATATGGTTCTCCTTGTTGGACATCAATGTAGCCACAACTCTTCAGAACCTGCAGAAAACAGGCACACCAACCAAAATCAAGACAAGGAAAGTACCTGCTGCTGAAAAAATAATACACCAATTGTATGCCAAGAAAGAACACCAGAAGCAATAACTATTACCATTGTCTCCAAGAACATCCGTGAAGTTTGCTTTCTTACTTTCCCTTCCAATATTCTACTCAAACTGAATTTGCCAGGCTGCTCTTCAGGTGGGGTTGAAGCCACATGGTCTCTAAAGAACAGTGCAACAGCCCTAGAGTGCCATATAAAAAGTCATCACAACTTGAAAATGAATAAGAACGATAGGATCAGCTCAAACAGATATCATTACCTTGTCCTAGCAGACATCCTTCCTAATCCGGTGGTTCCAGTACCTGCACTTATCCCACCAGGAGTACTTATGAGCCCTGGAATCTCTGGCTGATCATCATAACCATTACTGATTGGAAACAGGGACACCATACGATCAGAGTCAGGAGTACTTTGTCCAGGTAATGAACAGGTTCCGACAGAAGAAGGTATTTCAGGGACACCAGTCCCTCCAAACCCAGACTGTGGAGTTTGACAGACAGTTTTGAAAGGAGAATCATCTTCTCTTATTGGACATGGCATATCTACTGTGGAAAACCGAGGGAACTCGGGAATCATATCTTCAGCTCGTGCTGCACCGACTCCTCCTGGTGACTTGGGGGTGTGTTGAGGTTCAGGCTGTGCATCTGAATTTCTTGGAGATTTTAGGGTCAAATCATCTTCAGGCAGTGTATCTTCATTATCCATGAGACGTTGGGGTGAGCTGTATTTTAGCAGGAGCATCCTGACTACCACCATAACCAATCATCATGGGTTCACAAGAGGCAGACTCAGCATCAGGGTCACTGACACAGGGAAAGCTTCTCTCGTATGTTACATGTAGGTCAGTACACATCCCTGAAAAGGAGTAAATTCAGGGCATAATTTTTGAAGTGAAGACAGAGTAAACCTTTGAAATCCAAGAGCATACTAGCTTACCTTGCAGTAAGGGTTCAAGCAATAAGTTGGCTTCATTTCTGCTGGTCCTGCTGAATTTCCACATATCCAGGGCTGTTTGAGGTAGCTTTCTCCTCTTGCAGGCTAACTTATTTAATCCAACACCTTTACTTTGAGCCTTCATATATCTGTGAAAGAGATGCACAAATGTATCACTGTTAACAGAAGAGGCTATCAAGTCATGTTTTTATCATACAACTTATCACTACCATATGCAGGTGAAAGCACCTTTTGGTGTTCAAATTCCTGATGTGCACAATTAAAAATAAAATAAAGGGCTATGTAGATCCCTAGTTGGTGCAGAGGCCAGATATTAGTCGCCATTATCTAAAACTACCATATGCAGCATTAGTGATGGTAAAAAGTATATGGAGGATTGCATTTTTGCATCAGGATGGGACCTGGGTCTATCCATAGCTCTAGAGGAACTATTTTCAACAAATAAAAACAAGAGGTACACGATTACCATGAATGTGTTTATATAGTATGGCAACATGGGAGGCCGTGCACAATACGACACTTTTCCTTAAAAACATTCATATGGCACTGTGGCTCCACATATATAATTATATACTAAGAATAACTGATACAATAAAGTGTATGGCTACAGGTTCAGTGTTCCATAAACTGTAATAAATTATATAAAGAACATAATTTTATCCTTTGGGTTGGACCCTATTTCAGAAGGCATCACCATGTATCATGAAGTATCGAATCCAATACACATCAGATGTTTGCATTTGTTGCCTGGGGAGGTGAGGTCAAGGGTGACATAATTCTTATGAGTTTATTATGGGAAGGAAATTCAAAAACAGCATTTTAGATTTTTATGTTTTGAACAAACACTATCTGAGATTATCTGATTTGAAAAGGTGAAAAATATCAAATCGTTTTCAAGCGACTCCACACTTTATACTACTGTCATTGAGGCCTCCTGTCACCCATGACAACTACTCAAGTAAACAGAAACGAGTGTCATTTCAAATGAGGGTCAGAAAGTGTCATTTACTCATTGGAAAGCATTATTTCATTGTCAAACACCATCTCTCTCTCTCTCTCTCTCTCTCTTGTCTTTCATTTCAAATGAGGGTCAGAAAGTGTTCAACCATATTTTTTGATCGAACAAGATGCCTGACGAGTGGAGAAGTATATTGGTACCGATCTACAAGAATAAAGGGGATATTTAAAGTTGTACTATTTACCGGAGAATTAAGTTGATGAGCCATACTATGAAGTTATGGGAGAGTTATCGAGCATCGCTTGAGAGCAATAACGCGGGTCTCTATGAACCAATTTGGTTTCATGCCCGGAAGGTCAACCATGGAAGCCATTTTCTTAATAAGACAAGTTATGGAGCGGTATAGGGAGAAGAAGGACCTACACATGGTTTTTATTGACTCGGAGAAGGCTTATGATAAAATACCAAGAAATGTTATGTGGTGGAATTTGGACAAACATAAAGTCCCAACGAAGTATGTCGGACTCAGTAAGGACATGCACATCAATGTTGTGACTAGTGTTTGAACAAGTGATAGAGACACGAATGACTTCCCAATTAGGATAGAACTACATCAAGGGTCAGCTTTGAGCCCTTATCTGTTTGCCTTAGTGATGGATGAGGTCACAAGGGACATACAAGGGGACATCTCTTGGTGTATACTTTTCGCGGACGATGTAGTGCTAGTTTATGAAAGCCGGACATGAGTGAATCAGAAACTGGAGTTATGGCGAGAGACTTTATAGTCCCAAAGGTTTTAGACTCAGTAGAACTAAAACTGAGTATATAAGATGTGACTTCGACACTACTACTCGTGAGTTTGGAAGGTCAAGTAGTGCCTAGGAAGGATACCTTTCGATATTTAGGATCAATGCTACAGAGAGACAGGGATATTGATGAAGATGTTAGCCATAGAATCAAAGCAGGGTGGATAAAGTGGCGCCAAGCATCTGGTGTCCTATGTAACAAAAGGGTACCACAGAAGTTAAAAGGCAAGTTTTATAGGACGACGATTAGACCTGCTATGTTGTATGGTGCAGAATGTTGGCCTACGAAAAGACGACATGTTCAACAGATAAGTGTCGTGGAAATGCGTATGTTGCGTTGGATTTGCGGTCATACAAGAAGGGATCGAGTTCGGAACGATGATATACGTGATAGATTAGGAGTAGCACCAATTGAAGAAAATCTTATCCAACACCGGTTCAGATGGTTTGGACATGTCCAACGGAGACCTCCAGAGGCACCGGTGTGTAGTGGAATCCTAAGCCATGATAGTAACGTGAAGAGAGGCATAGGAAGACCGAAGTTAACTTGGGTAGAGGCAATAAAAGGAGACTTGAAAGGATGAAATATAACCAAAGACTTAGCCTTAGATAGAAGTGCTTGGAAAACAGTTATTCACGTGCCTGAACCTTGACGGCTTCTGCTGGGTTTCAACTCTAGCCTACCCCAACTTGTTTGGGACTTAAAGGCTTTGTTGTTGTTGTTGTTGCTGCTGCTGCTTGAGGTGGAGGTGGGGATGGTTCAAGCCGCAATTCAGGTAACTGGTTGTCTAAAATCAGAAGATAAGGAAAGTTGGATCATGAGATGTTTACTCATTGAGATAAAAATGCATTTCTCCTGACCTTCTATCATATACAGAGTACCATACAACTGGTGCTGGTGGAATAACAGAACAGCTTCAGTTTATTATTAAAGCGAAAGAGAAGTTGAAGACAGATAGACAATTACTTCAGATGCATAATGTGTCAGCAAACAAATACTTACCAGAATGTAGGGGCTTGACATCATCAATAAGATCATATGTGATAGGACTTCGTAAGGGTATGTGTCTCCCAGCTAATTGTTGAGCAGAAGTTCCATCCATTGCTTGAGGGGTGATAACCTTGTTCTATACAAACGGTGAAGAATCCTGGCTCAACACCATGGGGTCATCATTTCCAAAAACTGTATCTATGAAGTGTTCAGGCCCCTCCTGTGGAGCTTCCTGCATTATTTCTGGCGGATCTTGTGCTCCATCTGATGGATTTTGGTTTTCTAGCATATTGCCAGGATGAGGGTCTAGAGGAATCTCATTGCTAAGAGTGTTATTTGCACCAAGACCGTCATCAAACTGAGGGAATGTCCTGGACATGATTGCATGATTGTAAAGGATACATGTATACACTAGACAGAAAGAAAGAAATTATTCAAGAAACATACCCTGACTCAAATGGTTGAGGCCCCATGTATGGAAATAGACCAGTAGCTGGTGCCTGTGAGATGTTAGTGATTTGAGAAGTAAAAAAGATAAAAAAGGAAGCAAGATAATACAATAATTAATACCTCATCGAGATCTATCATCACATATTCTCCTTCTGCAACACCAATGAGATAGTTAAATGAATGAATTGGATGTCCATGAGCATTTACTTTATTGAACTTCCCTTACCAGACAAAGTAATCTGATCAAGAGTCTTCTGATGATTATCAGGTGTACTGCAGAAAGTTCACCAAAACAAGAGTATCACAATGAGATTTCATGAGCATGACACAAATAGAAAAATGAGAAAAGAGCCAAAAGGATGCTTACTTTATTTGAGAAACTATGTCATCTAGGTTTAAGTCATCAAGATTTAAAGTAGATGGCCATGTGATGCAGTCAAATGGTGCCCGATCCACCTCAACTGGAAAATCTACTTCCACAGAAGCAAAGGTAGTTTTGATTGTAGTTACCATTCGGTTGCAATCTTGAAACAGGTAGTTCACCTTCCATGAATAAATGCGAACTAGGCCTAGGAGAAGATGCCCTGATAATCTTAAAGCCATTGGAAGCTCTGGAAACATTATACTCTCTGGAAAAGGAAGAAGGCATGTGTTAGATGACTAGGGCATAGTTTACTGAATAAACACCAGGACATAACCACAGAAAAACAATCCAAATATCTGGAATATATAGAAAGTAAAATAACCATGAAATGGCGAGTACAGAGTAACCTTCCGTTAAAGGGATGTTGTTTCAGTGCTTAATATTAGGTAACATTAGGCAAGCCATTGACAACCAGCTCATGCTGAAGGGCAAGAGAAACAAAATGATAATAATTGCACGCTTGACCGCTGTACGGTGAAAGCATTAAACTTGATGCCAAGGACATAGAATCTAGTGATTTTTTTTTGACAAAACTAGAATCTAGTGAATTGTTTCCTAGTGATGAAAATTAGATGGCATTTGCCATATTATTCAACTTCATTGCTAAGTATTCCATTATAGTACTCATCCTATCTCTGTCCTTAGTCAAAGCATATCATTTCACAAAGAAAAAGCATATCCGCCAATTCATGTTTTACATTGATATTGTATCGAACAATCAACACACTGCGTTATAAGAAAAGAACCAACAAACAATTATAATAATACACCAATCGACGTTTAGTGTCATTTTGCTAGTTTTTGAAACTTGCAAGAAACCTGGTGTTCAGGCTAAGAAAATGTGAGGACCCACGTAAAATCACTACTATGTCCTTGCATAGCCAAACTAACTGTTCTGCAATCAAGTCTTGAGATAGAAGTTGTAGCATACAGCTCGCAAGAGTAAAGTGAGAGGCCTGCTGCTAAGTTGAAAGTGGCCACAAGGAACAAAATTTTTCAGACAACTTCCGTTCTTCCCAAATCATTTTTCTCAACAAATTGCAAGGATTATAACTGATTTTGGGTTAACTGGGGAAAAAAGATACGACACTTCAAACATGAAACAAACTTCAAATTCTAATTAATTCCCTTGGATTTTCTTTTCCAAATTTTGAAAGAAAATCTAACCGACAAAATAGATTCATGCATTATCTCAAATGCCCATGATTGTCGGTTCAAAAGATCAATCTTTGGGTATGACAAGCCCCAACATCTGCAGACAGCCTACTACACAACAATTGCTGCTTTACTGAATCCTGAAGACATTTTGTTCTTTACCAAAACCCAACCAGATAACCTTTTTCTACCTTCTGCTAGCTAGCAAATCGTTACACAAATCTCCAACCAGTAACTGAATAACGGTAATGAAAGCTAAGGGGACTATATAGTAATATATATAGGAGAGAAAAGAATGTAAACGTCTAAAGAAGAGTCATCCAACCAAATAGCATTCCTTCACTTCTCGGCAAAAATCCTATGAAAGAAACAAATTCACAGAACACTCCAATTCGTATTCAGTAGCCGAATCCATAAAAATCGTAATGGGACAAAAGAATCTACACATGGGTTCTTTTTTTAAAAAAAAACTCAACAAAGGCACTTTTCTCCCTTCGACTTGCACAATGCTGAGGAGGGACGACATATTAGCGCAATGCACCATCGCATGAAAAACACCAAAAAAAAATCATGACTTTTCTGCACATAGCGCAGCCATTCCCCATTTGCCCACCAGAACACGAGGAGCCTCTGCTGACGAACAACGAGGGAAAAAACTTTTCTTGGTTGGTTCTAGCAGCGGACGGCAGAGTCGCAGAGAACGACGAAATACGGCGTCATTGAGCGAGCGAGCGAAGGAGTGAGGGCCAACGGACCTGCGGAGGAGGTGATGTCAATACCATCGATCTGCGGCTTCTTGATCTTGCGCTCGAGGTGCGCGGCGATCCACAAGGTCCACAGCGCGCTCTTCCGCTCTAGGATCGTGTGCGAGTAGAACATCCTCTCCGAACCTCTACGGGTCGCCGGCGGCGGCGGGGGTTTAAGTGGGGTTTCTGGCAGCTGCGGTGGAGACGACGACGGCAGGGGACGGGAGGGCGACCAGACACCGGTCAAACTATTATGGGGGCGGAGGTGAAGCTTTTGCCGGACGGTTTCCGGACGTCGCGGCGGGGCGGGACTGGTGGGCCCGGAGGGGCGGTTCCTTGCGATGGAAGGACGATCAGTTTTGTGATGTGTTTTCCCCCGCCCAATACGGGTTCGTACGGTACTAGATTTTTTTCCTTTTATTATGTTGTTATTATGTGAGGATAAGTTCATATTTTGTGATTTTGTGCGTGTTGAGTTCGCGAATTTTAGGAATTTATCTACTGTAGCACGTTCGTTTTTATAATTCGTATTTTTTAGCTAGTTTTTTTAGCCGGAACAGTGTTTTTCTCTCACAACAAATCAGCTAGAACAGTATTTCGGCTTGTTTTTCCTGCGAAGCGAACGGAGCCAATACGTAGATGGGAAAATTGGTTTCATAACATCGAAAGATCACAACATTCAGAAAATATCATTGAAAGACATCCGTTACGTAAAATACCACCGGAAGAATGGACTGTTACCTTCAAATAGCATTCCGTCATGGTGGTCACTTTTGCCGTGAATTCCTCTGTTGAGGCACATTTGTTCCCCCATTTCAGAGAAACAGAGCACACGCGCTGGCGTACGGGCACAGCCTGATTCGCCCTGGAGAGGGCACAGCGGCCATGACTGACCAGCCGGCGGTTTTCGCGGTGGCCGGCCGCACCTATCGATGTCAGTGGCGTGGCCTGATATGGCTCATAGGAGCATGGCCCCGTGCCCGTGCGGCATGCAACACGGGAGACGGCGGCGGCATGCAGCAGTGGCGAACCCCGCGACTACAAGGTTGGCGCAGGTACACGTCAGGTGCGTGGGGGTGCTAGAGGGGTTGTTCTGGGCATGCCTTGTGCGGGGTTGAGTAAGAGCGATGTGGCGGCTCACCATGCGGAAAAAACAAGCGTCTACGCCGACGTCGAGCAGGATGGAGGCGGCCCGCAAAGCAGGGCTACCGCACGGAGTTTCGGCCGAAAGAGGTGCACGCCATGGTGGTGGACGCGGCAGTGTAGCTGGCTTGGTGGAGGCGCCTCCGATTGGAGCTGTCCGCGGGAGTTCCCCGCGCGGCGGCCATGGCGAGCAGCAGGAACAACGCACCTGGCGGCGGTAGGATCCAGCGTCCCAGAACGGATTTGCCCAGTTTAGGTGAGCCGCGATCGAAAGAAGTCCGGACGGACGTGGTGGTACGCGGGCGAGGTGCTGGTGGTGTGCACCCATGGGAACAGCGACGACGTACCGAGAGCCGGCCATGGCGGCGGACAGCAGCAGTTTTAGCGACATGGCGTGGCGCTGGCCCGGAGTTGTTTGCTATCGTGCGTAGGGGTGAGAACATGCTGGCGGAGATGGTGGGGCACACGGCTCGGCAGTGGTACGGTGGTGCCAATGGTGGGGAACGGTGGTGGTGAGAGCTGAGAGCAGATCGACGGCTCTAAGCTTGGCGTCCAGGCACAGGCACAGGCGAGTGGAGTGGACCAGGCACAGGTAGCCGTCATCCCAGGTCCCAACCATCGTGAGTACTCCTATATGCATGCACGCAAACTCGATTGCTCTTACATGCGCCGTGAGCTCATTGATAGATGATCCATGCACGTACGCACAGTCGCACACAAGGCACTGGCCTCCTAACAGTGTCCACGGAGGTGAGGGTGTGAGGCAACTGCAGCCACCGCCGTACGGACCCAGCGTGGCTGGGCCGTACGACGTAGCCACGCAGCGTACGACATGTGTCGCTGCCTATCAGCGTCTCCATGCCCAACCAGGCAGTTGGGTTGAGGAAAAAAGGTGTCTCGACGGAGTAATTCATGGCAACAGCAGCCACTATGATAGAATACTATTTGAAGGTAACAGTTCGTTCTTTTGGTGGTATTTTACGTGACGGACGTCTTTTGATGGTATTTTTCGAATGTCGTGATCTTTGGATGTGTAGTATCTCTGGTACGCCTAGAGGGGGTGAATAGGCCTATAAAAAATTTAACTCAAACCAAAGTCAAATTCACCCTCGATATTGCTACTCTGTGAGCGCGGCACTGCCATACCTGCAGGAGAGATTAGTTCACAGTTCAAAATCTATCCAACGAAATTTAGATTGGGTAAATTTCTTAGCTTCCTGTAGGGTGGCAAATCATAGATCGACAGCTGAAAATGGTGGAAACACCACACACAAGTAGATCGGCCTCAAACTCTAGAAATCACCTCAACAACAAAAGGTCATGCAAGTAATGTAAATCAAGCACAAGTGACACAATGATTTATCATATGGTTCGGCTCGCCACCAAGTCTTGCCTACCTCCACGTTGTTGAGGTGAGCCACTAAGGCTTAGAGCTTTCTAGCCCTTATTCTCAAGTCAAGAGACTTAACTCTTAAGATGAGGGGTAAGTTTACTAGCTTCAAGAGATGGTTACAAACCTCCCGAGGCTGCCACACAAGTTGGCATGCTCCACGGGCGATGTTCTAGCCGGCTAGGAGCCAAACTCCAAGAGTAACAAACACAACTGCCGGCCAAAACGTGAACCAAGTGCTCTTTAGAATTTGAGAATCAATGGAGTTGCTCTCTAATCAAGTTATGGACCATTTTCCCTCAAGCATTGATGGGAAAATAAATGGATTTACTTGAGGGCTTTAGGTCAACAATGGAGTGAGAGAGAGAGAGAGCTTATGCTCTGCTTTGGACGTGCTCAAGTGAGGAAGAAGAGGCAGGTTAGTTCATCCCCGTTGGGAAGGAAGGGGAAAGGTATATATACCCCCAGCCCCTAACAGTCACTTTAAATCGCAGATAGCCGTTGGCGAGGAAAGGGAGAAGTATATATACCCCAGCCCTCAACGGATACCACACCCAAGGGGTTGGGCGAGATGAAGCCCGCAACCTCAAGGTCGAGCGAGACAGAGCCCGTGACCTCGGGGTCAGGCGATCCGGGTCCCGCAACCCTAGGATCGGGCGAGGTGGATCCCGCACCCAAGGGGTCAGGCGAGGCGGGATCCCATGACCAAGGGGTCTGGCGAGGTGGATCCCGCGACCCTGGGGTCGGGCATGGTGGATCCCGCGACCAAGGGGTCTGGCGAGCCGGATCCCGTACCCAAGGGATCGGGCGAGACGGAGCTCGCACCACACAAGACAGAAAGGGTAATAGTGAAGTGCAGACTATCTTGGCTGTGAATCTAAGGATGCTTGTGGTTGTTTGAGCACTTGGTAGCACATATTAGCTTAAGCATTGTGTCTTTCTTTATAGTACGGCTTTTTCTATACTCAAATTTAAGATATAAAAGAATCTTAAACCTCTTTTGGGTTTGAAGCCATCTATATTTGTAATTGGGGGCTCCATTTCATGTAGCATCCTCGAATATAAATTCCCTGCTTATCATCTCGATAAATCTCATTAGTTCTCTAATTGTGTGGTCATTATCACCAAAACCCACAATTAGGGCTTGATTGCACTTTCAATCTCCCCCTTTTTGATGATTGATGACAACCCAATTAGAGCTTATAAAAGATATGAAATAAATATAGAGATTTTCGAGCCATGGGTGTAGAGCCTCCCCCTAAGTATGTGAATAGAGAATTGAATTCTCAAATTAACATAAGAAGCCAAGATTCACATTTTAGTGAAAGTGATGGGGCTCTCCCTACATCCATGCTCCTGTGGGGGTGCTGCATACTGTGTTAGGTATGTAAAACATGATGCAAATGACAGCTTATGCACAACATGATTTGCTGTTACAGCTGGGTGCGGCACTGCCGCACTTGCTGTAACAGCACAGATCAAAACAGACACCACATAGCATGTGATACATATAAAGATATACATTCTAGCATAATTGTATCACAAGCGACAACATAGATTAATATATGTCCATATCCCACACAAAGAGTCAAATAGTAGCATTATTTCACAATTTAGAGTTTGAATGACTCTCAAACCTTCCACCTAGCAAAGACTAACACTCATCGAATAGGACATGAAACGCAGCTGCTGACCATGGCGTCGAAAAGTTGTTGACCCCTATAATTTTCTCCCCCATTGGCATAAAGCACCAAAAAGAGAAAAAAAGAAGAAAGATCAACACCTACTCGTCATCTCCTTGGATGTCCGTCCAATCAATATCATCACCTCCTGCAGCAGTCCCGGCACCACCATTACCATCATCGTCGTCGGAGTCAATACGTGCACGACCCTGACGGTGAGTAGTGGCGGTGTAGCGAGTGGAACGCCTCGGCTCCTGTCTTTGACGGTATCCCTCCAGGGTCTCATCCCAATCTGCTGCTCGTCCCTGCTCCTCCTCATCATTTGAATCTGTGTCAAAGAGACTCAGAAGGTCATACTATGGAGGAGGTGAAATAGGAGGAAGTGGTGGAAGGTCCTGTCCACGCTGCTGACGCTGCTCAAGCTATGTCTCATACTGTCGGTGTTTCGGACCGGGGGGTCCTCAACCAACCAGTGAATTTGAACTGCGTGCCCCTAATCCCGGATGGTGATGCAAAGAGACACAAGGTTTATACTGGTTCAGGCAATCAGTGCCCTACGTCTAGTCTAAGAGATTGATCTTGTATTCCTTGCACCGAGGTGCTTGTAGTAAGGGTTACAAGCTAGGCGAGAGAGGGAGCTGGTCCCAGGTCTCGGTGTGGTGCGGTGCGGGCTGCTTGAGGCGTTGTTCTCAGGCAGCGGGGGGAGCGTGTGTTACAGAGTGTCGCTTGTGCGTGTGTGAGAGCGTGGTTCTTTCGTATGTTTTCTCACCTCCCTCAGAGCTATCCCTGGCTGCTTCCTTTTATAGCTGCAAGGAGGGAGCCATGAGTACATGAGTGAGCTACACGTGGAGCCTACTGTAGTTCAGTCCTGTAGCAGCATGGTGTTGGGAATGGCGATCGGTACTTTGACTGGCGCGC